TCAACTTTGCAACCCGTCTCGATAAATTAATCGCTTTTTCCAGGGACTTCAGGGTCTCCATAATGGATCATTTGTCAAATACTCTGACAGGTGTAGTTCTTAATTATAATGTGGAAAGAATTATGAGGTTTCATCTCAATTAATTTCAATTAAACTGCTGCAATTGACCTCAGTACCCTGAACTGAAAACAAGAAATTCACCAGGGCTCTTTCTCCTGATCATTACATAGTGATATCTGAGATTTAGATTTCTTTTGAGGACAACTGTACTTTTCCAGTACAGTTACAACACGTTTACACGACAATGTGGAAAATTGCCCAAGTATGCCTTGTACATAAAAAGCAGGACAAGTCCAACCTGGCCAATTACCGCCCCAACATTTTTCTCTCAGTCATCAGTAAAGTGATGGAAGGTGTCATCAACAGTGCCATCAAGCAGTACCTGCTCAGCAATAACACTGCTCAGTGACGCCCAGTTTGGGTTTCGCCAGGGCCGCTCCGCTCCTGATCTCATGACCGCCTTGGTCCAAACATGGGCAAAAGAGCTGAATTCCAGAGGCGAGTTGAGAGTGACAACCCTTTACATCAAAGCTGCACCAAGTGGGGCATCAAGGACCCCGAGCAAAACTGGAATCAATGGGTAGTGGGGGCAAGCTCTCCAGTGGTTGGAATCATACCTAACACGGAGGAAAATGGTCTTGGTTGTTGGAGGTCAGTCATCTGAGCTCCAGGACATCTCTGCAGGAGTACCTCAGGGTAGTATCCTAGGCCCAACCATCTTCAGCTGCTTCATCAATGACCTTCCCTCCATCATAAGGTCAGGAGTGGGGATGTTCGCTAATGACTGCACAATGTTCAGCACCGTTTGCGACTCCTCAGATACTGAAGCAGTCCATGTTCAAATGCAACAAGACAATATCCAGGCTGAAAAATGGCAAGTAACATTCGTGCCATATAAATGCCAGGCAATGACCATCTCCAGCAAGAGACAATCTAACCACTTCCCCTTGGCATTCAACAGTGTTACCATCACTGAATTGCCCACTATCAACATTCTGGAGGTTATTATTGACCAGAAACTCAACTAGACTCACCACATAAACACTGGCTACAAGAACAGGCCAGAAGCTAGGAATACTGCAGCGAATAACTCACCTCCTGACTCTTCAAAGCCTGTCTGCCATTTTCAAGACACATCAGGAGTGTAATGGAATACACCCCCGTACCTGAATGAGTGTAGCCCCAACAACACTCAAGAAGCTTGACACCATTCAGGACAATGCAGCACATTTGATTGGCACTACATCCACAAGTATCCATTCCCTCCACCATCAACACTCAGTAGTAGCAGTGTGTACTATCTACAAGATGCACTGCAGAAATTCGCCAAAGGTCCTCAGACAGCACCTTCCAAACCCACAACACTTCCATCTAGAAGGACAAGGGTAGCAGATATATGGGATCACCACCACCTTCAAGTTCCCGTCCAAGCCACTCACCATCCTGACTTGGAAATGTATCACTGTTCATTCACTGTCACTGGGTCAAAATCCTGGAATTCCCTCCCTCATGGCATTGTGGGTCAACCCACAGCAAGTGGGCTGCATCAGTTCAAGAAGGCAGTTCACCACCACCTTCTCAAAGGCAAGTAGGGATGGGCAATAAATGCTGGCCAGGAAGCGATGCCACATCCCATAAATGAATTTAAAAACAAATTATATTCAGTTTTGATCCATTCATAGTTGAAGATGCCCAAAACTTGTAAGTGAAGAATGATTTCTTGAAAGAAATACCTTGTGATGGCTACAGCAAAATATACTCCAAGTATCAGCATCTGTTCAGCTGTTCAGCTACATGTTCAGCTGGCTAAAACTAAAATTCAAACACTGGAGTGTTTTACTTTGGTTTCTATTCTTAATACTCTGCGCTGGCTGAGAGTTGTCGTATTCCAAACCCATGCTACAAGCAATTGCACCCTCAGTGCAAGGGCTGGTGAAAAGTACTGTCCACAAATTGACTCCATTTACCCTGGTGGGAGTAGTTCCCCTTTTTGGAGATTGTGTTCAAGGGATATTGGGAACCAGATCAAAATAGCCTAGTTTCTAAATTTAGTGTCTGATTTCTTCCCACTAATCTGCAGTCTACCAGTTACCGAGAGCTGATTTATTTCTGCATGGAAATGTGAATGAAATGTTTAAAGTTTAAGCCATTTCAAATTCTGTTGAATGGTGGGATGCTGCCAAGAACTGTACGTGCAAAGAATGGGTTGTGCTCCCTACAAGCAAGAACCACCTCTCTCCACAGAAACGATATTCTCTAAGATTCTTTTGATTGTATCTGGTGATTGAAATATCCATTGTAATGTTGATAGAATTTAGGAAAAAAGTAAGGCAGACTTCAGAGTTCATTGTGTGTTTCAGTCCTAGGGTTAGTTTGGGAACAAATTCCATGAGTTTATAATTTCAACAAGCTCATTGACTGTGTCCAATGAGCTGACTGGATTTGTGCAACAAATGAACAATATTTTCACTGTGGGTTTGAAGTACAAATGAATGCAGGTCTTTATGGTGGGAATCATTCATAGTTTTGTAAAGTTTATCATTTTGACTCAATAGAAAGACCCATAGTTTGGTATCAAGAGTCCAGGGACACTATGTCCCTGTTAGGGTGAAGGGAAAAGCTTGCAGGTTTAGGGATCCCTGGCTGACAAAGGTATTGAGGCTCTGGTCAGGAAAAGAGGCATGGGTTTAAACTACTGGATTCCAGTGAATCCCTAGATGACTATAAAAAGTGTAGGAGCACACTTAAGAGGGAAATCAGAAGAACAAAAATAGGGTATGAGATGGATCTGGCAGGTAAGGTTAAAGAAGTTCTATAGCTATATTACGAACAAGAGGGTGGCTCGGGAGAGAATAGGTCCCCTTGAAGATCGAAGATCAGCATAGCTATCTATGTGTGGAGCCTCAGGAGATGGGGGAGATTTTTAATGAATATTTCTCCTCCGTGTTTGCTAATGAGAGAATCGTGGATGTGAAGGAAATATGGGAAACAAGTGGGGATGTTTTGGACCGCATACATATTACCAGAAGGGAGGTGTTTTCAGCCTTCAATCTTATTAGGATGAATAAATCCCCTGATCAAGTCCATCCTTGGACATTGTGGGAGGCTAGGAACGAATTTGCAGAGGCTCTACAGAAACTTTTGCTTTGTCTTTACCCAGTGGTGATGTTCTGGAAGACTGGAGGGTGGCTAATGTTCCATTGTTGAAGAAAGGTAGCAAAGACAAGCCAGGGAACTACAGGGCAGTGAGCCTGACATCAGTGGTAGGCAAGTTATTGGAGAGGCTACTGAGGGACAGGATCACCAATATATTTGGATAGTCAAGATCTGATCAGGGATAGTCAGCATGGATTTGTACGCAGGAAGTCATGTCTGAGAAATCTGAGTTTTTCGAAGAGGTAACCAAGCAGATTGAGGGGTAAGGCAGTGGATTTTGTCTATACGGACTTTAGGTCCTTTGACAAGGTCCCGCACAGCAGGCTAGTCATGAAGGTTAGGTCGCATGGAATCCAGGGAAAGCTAGCTAATTGGATTCAAAATTGGCTCGATGGTAGGAAGCAGAGGATGATGGTTGAAGGTTAAAAACCAAAAGAACTGCGGATGCTGTAAATCAGGAACAAAAACAAAGTTGCTGGAAAAGCTCAGCAGGCCTGGCAGCATCTGTGGAGGAGAAAACAGAGTTAACGTTTCAGGTCCGGTGACCCTTCCTCAGATGGCTGAAGGTTGTTTCTTGGACTGGAGGCCTGTGACTAGGGCGTGCCACTGGAATCGGTGCTGGGACCTTTGTTATTTGTTACTTACATAAATTATCTGGATGTGAATGTACAAGGCATGATTAGTAAATTTGCGGATGATACAACATTAGGAGGTATTGTTGATAGTGAGGAAAGTTATCAAAAATTACAGAGGGATCGTGATCAGATGGAGAAATGGGCTGAGGATTGGCAAATGCAGTTCAATGCAGATAAGTGTGAGGTGTTGCACTTTGGAACGTCAAACCATGGTAGGACTTATACAGTAAACTGTAAGGTCCTGAGGAGTGTTGTGGAATAGAGGGACCTAGGAATACATAGTTCATTGAAAGTGGCGTCACAAGTGGACAGGGTGGTGAAGAAGGCATTTAGCATGCTGGCCTTCATCAGTCAAGGCATTGAGTATAGGAGTTGGGGCGTTATGTTACAGTTGTATAAGTCGTTGATGAGGCTGCACCTGGTGTATTGTGTACAGTTTTGGTCACCCTGTTATAGGAAAGACATAGTTAAACTGGAAAGTGTGCAAAGAAGATTTACGAGGATGTTGCCGGGACTAGTAGGCCTGAGTTATAGGGAGAGGTTGGCCAGGATAGGACTTTATTTCTTGGAATGTAGAAGAATGAGGGTGACCTTGGAGGTGTATAAAATCATAAGGGCCATAGATAGGATGAATGCATACAGTCTTTATCCCAAGGATAGGGAATTGAAAGCTAGTGGGCATAGGTTTAAGGTGAGAGGGGAAAGATTTAAGAAGGACCTGAGGGGTGTTTTTGGAATGGGCTGCCAGAGAAAGTGATTGATGCAAGTACAATTACAATATTTAAAAAGTAATTGGATAGGTACATGTATGGGAAGGGTTTAGAGGAATATGGACCAAATGTGGGCAGTTGGAACTAGCTGAGTGGGCACCATGGTCAGCATGGACCAGTTTGGGCTGAAGGGCCTGTTTCCATTCTGTATTACTCTGACTCTAAAATATGTGCTAGAGCATCAATGCCTTGACCACTATCAAAATGCTTTAATGTAATTCGGTAGAGAGAGCCATTCAACATTTATCACCTCTGCAGCCATCTCCGTCACTCTTCTTTTGTTTTATCCCATGAGTATTAGTAACCCTACCGTTAAAACTCTCTTCCAAAATCCAGATTATTCCTTACCTTAACACTTTTGCATGTGTTTATATTTTAGGAACCAAGTAATGCGGAAAAAACTGATCCTTTTTTTCAAGAGGAGAAACCATGCTCGTAAACAGAGGGTATGCTGTAATTCTTGAATATTTTTAAAGATTAAAGATAAATGGCATTGTGATAACACCACTCCCTCCAAGTTCCTATCCAAGCCGCTCATTATTCTGACTTGGAAATGTGTTGCAGTATCTTCACTGTTTCCTGGTCAAAATTCTGAAACTCCCTCTGTTTCAACATTGGGGGCATCCCGACACCCCATGGACTGCACCATTTCAAGAAGGCAGCTCAACACTACCTTCTCCAGGGCAATTCAGGATATGTCTGAGACATTAATGATCATATTGAATGTTGGAGCAGGCTTAAGGAGCTGATTGGCCAATCCCTGCTCCTAGTGTGTATGTTTTGAGACAATGATGAAAGAGAAGGCAAGCTTCACAGCAACTGAAGACATTGTGACTTTGTTTTTATTTAACTTGATGTTATTGAGATTTCAGAGAGTAAGGTTTTTTATGTACTGAAGAAGGTGTTCATCCTTGGCTTCTTGTGCTCACTAACAGCTTTCATTAGTTTTCTATGAATCTACCTATGATTTCATTGTGCAATTCCAATTTTACTGTCCCTCGATCCTGTTTGAGGTTTTGGTCTTTAAATTGAGTTAATCCATCTGCCGAAAATGAAATGAGGGCAGCAAAATGGGCCTACCCAGTGATATTCTCACTCTCCTGTAGCAAAATACCAATCTCCTAATCCTCTATGAATCATTCTCTCGATGCATAAACCCGCTGGTCTCGCACATTGCTGTAGCACCAGGCTGCCCGACTGTCTGCTAGTACTAATTGCACAATTCATTTGTGATGCCTGTTTTTCAGGAACAGAAGATCTGCCAGCGTTATGACCAGCTGATGGAGGTGTGGGAAAAAAAAGTTGAAAGAATAGAAAACAACCCCCGGCGTAAGGCCAAGGAGAGCAAGACCAGGGAATATTATGAGAAGCAATTCCCTGAAATCCGCAAGCAAAGGGAACAGCAGGAACGATTTCAAAGGTAATGGTTAGGATCAAATTCTGCTCATGTTACTCATCTCTAGGTGGTCAGTATGGGAAAAGCAACAATATTTCTTGTGCCCACTCCCACATTCAGTCTCTACCCTCACACTGTTACTCTCTGCTTGGCTCAGTCTTTCTCCCACATGGATAACTGAAGCTATGAGTAACTTAAGTTAGGCACAGCTGGAGTACTGTGTGCAGTCTGGTCACCTCACTGGAGGAAGGATGTGATTGCACTGGAGGATTGAACAGGGGATTTGCCAGGATGTTGCCTGGCATGGAGCCTTTTAGCTATGACGAGAAGCTGGATAAGCTCAGGTTGTTTTCTTCAGAGCACAGAAGACTGAGAGGGGATCTGATAGATGCTTATAAGATTGAGAGGCATGGACAGAATGGATAGGAAACAGCTGTTCCCCTTAGTTAAAGGGTTTATCTCAAGCTGATTGTTGTTTAAAATGAAAGACAGTCATAGAATCCCTACAATGTGGGGGGATTTGAGGAAGGTTTTTCCACCCTGAGGCACTACCTGGGAGAACAGTTGAGATGGAAAACGTCAACCTTTTTCAAAAAGGGTAGGTGAGCAGTTGAAATGTTGTAGTATCCAGGGCTAGGAGCCTGGAGCTGGAAAGTGGGACCTGTTTTATTCACTCATGGGACATGGACATCATTGGCTGGCCCGCATTTTATTGCCGGTCCCTAGTTGCCCTTGAAAAGGTGGTGGTGAGTTGCCATCTTGAGCCACTGCATTCCATGTGGTGTAGGTTGACCCACCGTGCCCTTAGGGAGCGACTTCCAGGATTTTGATCCAGTGACAATGAAAGAACAGAGATATATTTCCAAGTCAGGATGGTGAGTGCCTTGGAGGGGAACTTGCAGGTAATCATGGGTTTGGAAGGTGCTGTCTAAGATTCTTTAGTGAATTTCTGCAATGCACCTTGAACTAGTAGCAGCAGTGTGTTCTAACATATAAGAGGTCTGTTTATTAGTCTATTAACAACAGGGAAGAAGTTGTTCTTGAATCTGTTTGTACTTGTATTCAAACTTTTATATCTTCTGCCCGATGGAAAAGAGTATGTTGGGTAGGAGGAGTCTTTGATTATTTTGGTTGCTTTCCCAAAGCTGCAGGAAGTATAGATCATAGAATCCCTACAGTATGGAAACAGGCCCTTCGGCCCAACAAGTCCACACCGACCCTCAGAGTATCCCGTCCAGACCCATCCCCAGACACTATGGGCAATTTAGCACGGCCAGTCCACCTAGCCTGCACATCTTTGGATTGTGGGAGGAAACTGTAGCACCCGGAGGAAACCCACGCAGACGTGGGGAGAATGTGCAAACTCCACACAGACAATTGCCCAAGGGTGGTATCGACCCCGGGTCCCTGGTGCTGTGAGGCAGCAGTGCTACCTTTATTCATTCATGGATGAGGGCATCGCTGGCTAGGCAGCATTTATTGCCCATCCCTAATTGCCCAGAGGGCAGTTAAGAGTCAACCACATTTCTGTGGGTCTGGAGTCACATATAGGCCAGACCAGGTAAGGATGGCAGTTTCCTTCCCTAAAGGACATTAGTGAACCAGATGGGTTTTTCCGACAATTGACAATGGATTCGTGGTCATCACTAGATTCTTAATTCCAGATATTTATTGAATTCAAATTCCACCATCTCCCTGGCAGGATTCGAACCCGGGTCTCTAGAACATTATCTGGGACTCTGGATTAACAGTCCAGCGATAATACCACTAGGCCCTCGTCTCCTCTAAGCCACTATGCCACCATGTCGCCCCTTTTATTTTAAGCCCAGACTGACCCTCAGAGCATCCCACCCAGACCCACCCCCTTATAACCTACCTAATTTACACATCCCTGAGCACTATGGGCAATTTGGCATGGCCAATCCACGTAGCCTGCATATCTTTGGACTGTGGGAGGAAACCGGAACACCTGGAGGAAACCCACTTGGACACGGGAAGAACGTGCAAACTCCACACAGACAGTCGCCTGAGGGTGGAATCGAACCCAGGTTTCTGGAGCTGTGAGGCAGCAGTACTAACCACTAAGCCAACGTGCTGCCCCCATGGAGTCAATGGATGTAAGGCTGGTTTGCGTGATTAACTAGGCTGTATTCGTGACTCTAGTTTCTTGCGGTCTTGGGAAGAGCAGTTACCAAACCACGCTGTGATGCATCCAGGTAGAATGCTTTTTATTGTGCATCTATAAAAATTGGTAAGAGTCTTTGTGGACATGCCGAATTTCCTTAGCCTCCTGAGGAAGTAGGCTTATGCTTTCTTATCCACACACTTTGACATGGTGGTCCAGACAGGCTATTTGTGATCATCACTCCCCGGAACTTGACGCTGTCGACCATCTTCACCTCAGCATCATTGATGCACACAGGGGCGTGTTCTCCACTCTGCTTCCTGGAGTCAATCTACTTGTTCGTTTTGCTGATGTCGATGGAGTCATTGTCTTTACATCAAGACGCTAGTGGGGAGTATTCCATCACACTACTGACTTGTGTCTTGTAGATGTGGACAGGCTTTGGAGAGTCTGGAGGTGAGTTACTTATTGCACTCCTCGCCTCCAACCTGCTTTCTTTTATTTTTCTTTCTTTATATAATGAGTCCAGTTGAGTTTCTGGTCAGTGGTAACCCAGGGATGTTGATTGTGGGGTTTTCAGTGACCAGTACAGCATTGAATGACAAGGGGTAGTGATTAGATTGTCTCGAATTGGAGATGGCCATTGCCTGCATTTGTGTGACATGAACACTACTTGTCAGCCCAAGGGTTCGATTCCAGTCTCGGGCGACTGTCTGTGTGGAGTTTTCACATTCTCAATGTCCAAAGATGTGCGGGGTAGGTGGATTGGCCATTTAAATTGCCCGTAGTGTCTAGTGACAACAAGGTGCAGAGCTGGATGAACACAGCAGGCCAAGCAGCATCGTAGGAGCAGAAAGGCTGACGTTTCGGGCCTAGACCCTTCATCAGAAATGATGCCACATAGTGTCTAGTGATGTTTAGGTTAGGTGGGTTAGACATGGGAAATCAGGGGTAGGATAATGGGTCTAGGTGGGATGCTGTTCGGAGGGATGGTTTGGACTTGTTGGGCCGAATGGCCTGTTTCCACACTGTAGGGATTCTATGAAAATTCTATCGTCCAGATCTTGTTGAATTTGCTCGTGGACTGCTACAGTGTCCAAGGAGTTGCACACTTGTGATAAACATTTGCAATCATTTGTGAACCTCCCCACTTCTGACCTTTATGGAGGAAAGGCCTTTGATAAAACAACTGAAAATGGTTGAGCCTAGGACATGACTGTGAGGAACTCCCGTAGAGATGACCTGGAGCTGAGATGACTCGCCTCCATTAATCACAACCATCTCCCGATCTGCTAGGTATGACTCCAACCAGTGGCGAGTTGAATCATATCATCACTGTTCATTCACTGATTAAATAGCTTCAGAACAGTGTAGGTCATCTGAATTTCCTGTTACATAATCTCCAAAGAGGATTCCTTGAAGTGGATACTGCGATTTCAAAATAGACTAATGAGGAAAATACTTGATTTTCTTTACAAGTGAACAACCCATATTAACTTGGCTATGTCACGTAAAGGTTGTTTATTACAGTTTAAAATGTATTTGGTAAAATGTGCAATTGCTTTCTTTTCAGAGTGGGACAGAGGGGAGCTGGGCTTCCAGCAACTATAGCGAGGAGTGAGCATGAGATTTCAGAAATTATCGATGGACTTTCTGAACAAGAGGTCAGGTGTTCCTTCGAGTCACTTCCATCCATTAATATAGGCAGTTTGAGTTTGTGCCAAGATTTCACCCATTAGTAGAGAAACATCCTCCTATAAATATTTTAAATAAGTGAAAGTGGAAAGTGTATAAAAATAACAAAAGGGAACGTCTGTGAAAGGGGGCAAAGATCATGGTCTGAAATTGTTGAATTCGATGTTGTAATCAAAGGCTATAAAGAGTATAATTGAAAGGTGAGGTGCTGTTACAATGAACCTCATTGGAACACTACAGGAGGCTGAAGGTGCAGAGCTCAGTGTGAGAGCAAGGTGGAGATTTAAGATGACAATTGATTGGAAACTCTGAGTCACCCTAGTGAACTGAACATTTAGCCTCCCCAATGTAGACCAGAGCACACCTTCAGCAGGATATATTGTATGATAATCCTTAAAGCAGTACAAGTAAATCGCTGTTTCACTTCAGATGCTTTGGGGCATTTACTGTGAGAAGGAAAGTAAAAGGGGTGGCTGTTCCACTTCCTGCACTTCTGTGGAAAGGTGTCATGGGCAGGAATGTTGATGTTGTATATGATGATGGAATTTCTCATCCAGCTCCATTTCTGCCAGCTCCAGCATGATATTACTGCTAAACGTTTCCCTGCCCTACACTTTGACAATTGTGCTGGGCCTCCTTCTCATGTAGCATCCTGGCCCACTCTTTGGTAATTTCCCATGGTCCCTCCTGTTATCATGCAAGTGCAAGAGATGTAATATCTGCCATTATACTTCCTTTGACTGCATTCTGCACGTTCTTTCCAGGTGAAGCAGTAATTTACATGTATTTTTTTTCAATATAGTATGCTGTATTCACTACTCATAATGTTTTGGGAAGATCAGATGTTAAGTCCGCTTCATGACCCTGAGCTTCCAATCGCCTGTCCTTTTAATTTTTTTCCTTGGTCTCGCACTAATTTTTGTCAGCCTCCTGTCTTCTTCCAGTGAAGCTTCTGGAGGAGCACCTTATCTTTCCATTAGGCTGTGTGCAATTATAATGAAAAATTTCTAGCTGCTGCTGGTAATCAGTAATTGTGTTGTTATTTTCCTCAGGTTGTATGTTCACCTGTTCACTGGTGGTGGACCATAAGCTACCAAGGACTGCAAGCCTGGAGTAGCTTGATGCTTTTTGCATCTAATCATTAAGAAACAAAATAATCAATTTGAGATCAAGAAAGGGTATTGAACACAAAAGCAAAGTACTGGAGAAACTCAGCAAGCCTGACAGCTTCTGTAGAGAAAGAAAGACAGAATTACTGTTTTAACTCCAGTGACCACTCATCAGAACAGTCACTGGACTCGAAATCTCAACTCTGTTTCTCTCTCCACAGATGTTGCCAGACCTACTGAGTTTCTCCAGCACTTTGCTTTTGTTTCCAATTTTTAGCATATACAGTTTTTTTGTTCTTTGTTTTTGCTTAGTGGGTATTGAACATTTTTTTAGTTATTTGTGATTAATCTATTCAGACATACTTATGACACATGTCTGGGACCTTCTAGCCCAGAGGTAGGGACACTATCACTGCACAAGACCCTTCAATTAGGAAACAAAACATCTGAATGACAAACTACTAGGGTATCTGGTCAATAAAATCCATTGGATTGTTTATTGCAGAATAATGAGAAGCAGATGAGGCAACTTTCTGTGATTCCTCCAATGATGTATGACACAGAACAGCGAAGAGTGAAATTCTTGAACATGAATGGAGTAATGGATGATCCCATGAGAGTATATAAGGAACGGCAGTTCATAAACGTCTGGTCTGAGCATGAGAAGGAGATCTTCAAAGAGAAGTAATTATAGTCTGCTACCATTCTGCACTGAACATGATAATTTTTTCTGGCAGTTTGAGTTATCCTACATCTGCTCCAGTCTTGTGCAAGCACACCATCAGACTGAATTGCTAGCAGGTTATAGTCAATTGCTGCTGATACTGTGCGACTGGGCTCTATATACAATGACTTATATTGTTCCTGACAGGTTTAAGGCCAAATGTAATATACAGCAGTGTAACAATTCTTTTGTTATTCAACCTTATAATGTTGCCAGTGCAAATTAAAGCTGGTCCATGCAGTTAATCAATGATTGTGGAGTTAACAGTTTGAATAGATGGATGTCTGGAGATAAAGTTATAACCACTCAAAATTGATCTCTTTTAAAAGTAAAACATTAGCAACATGGGAGCTTTTAATGACATTGAGGTTGTAGCATGGAAACCATTTTATCAGTGACCTTAGAAAATCCTTATGGTTGGTTCACTTGTAAATATGTTGCCAGAACTGGCTGTGCCATCACTTTTGATGTTTTTGTTCCCGTTTGACTTTTACACTAGTCAATTTAAATTGATTTGCGACAGAGGGATTAAGATGGTTTATGTACTTTTCTTGTTGGTGCAATATAATGACAACTGCAAGTTAATGAATAACTTACTTGAGCTTTCTACCAGACACTGACTAAGGAGGTGAGCCATTGAGCTTTTACCCTTCAGGTGATTGCGTTACTGATCAAAGACTTCTGTTTTCAATAGGTTTGTTCAACACCCAAAAAACTTTGGCTTGATAGCATCTTACCTGGAAAGAAAGGTAAGAAGACTCGTCATACACCAATTTTCTGAACAAAAAATGTGAAATATTCTTCTGCTTTTTCTTGTGTTATTCTCAACTGATTTACTTGAAAAGTCCATTCGCATAGCTCACCACAGTGAGTGAACCAATTGCTGGGTATAATACTCTGATATAAAATGCATCAGATTTGTTCACATTTGTTGAAATTTGTTATAACATGTTTTAATTCATCTTACCTACACAAACTCACTTTCTCTCTGTTGCTTGCCCTTTTTCTCCCTCACTTCATCTCTTTCTCATGCAGTGAAAGTTTAAAATGTTTACAAAGCTGAGCCTTTTATCCAGCTACAAATAGTATGCTTGTTGGAAATAGTATTGGTGATATTGGATCTATTAAATTGGAACTCTGTATATCCTTTTGCTAGATCAACTGTGCTGACTAGTTTGCTTCAGTACTCATTTCTTTGGAAATGAAAAAGAAATTGGCATGATGTTGCAACTGACATTTTTAATTTAAAAATGATAAGGTGTGTTGCAAAATTTGATCATTTGTGGCAGCAGTATCTGTGATATTTGCTGTTGTCTGTAGTGTTTTCAATTCTATCATATTCACAGGCAGTTGGTGGTAATTGTGTAATGTCACAAAGAAAATCATCAAACTGTCTGACTCATTTGATTCTTTGGCGTGGGTGCTGGTTTTTCTCCCGCTTCCGTATGGTCTGTTTGAAGCAGAAGGGAAATTGACCTTCAGAATGTTTGAACAATCTGCATTCATTTGCTTAGACTAAGTCAAATACTTGGCCTACAATTCTATCTTGATCAGTAGCCTGGAGACTGTTTAACAGCGGTGTCTTTGAATGAGAGGTTATTCCACATTGTGGTTTGGAAGAAATCCCAGTATGTTTAAAGTTAACAATTAATGCTCAAACTTTGTAGCTGTGTGTCGCCCTGTTTACTCATTTCATTCTTTGTTAACTCATCTTCTATCAGGCTCACCAAAAGCTTACCTTGTTTAAGGTTGCACTGTCTTTTTCTTGGATTCAAGGTTGACAAAGGCTTTTTAGCTGTAGACTGGTCAGTGTCCCTCATGTCCCAGTGAAATTTAAGGTGTCAGATTTTGAAGTACGGCAGACATAAAAATTAACCAGTGTACACACACGGAGAGATACACACAGACGCAGACACAGGCACACCTTTGACCGGCTGTCAAACTGTGCAGATGACTGATGAAGTCTGAAAAGCCCCTGCACTTGAGTTACTCATCCTAACTGCATAGACGCTCCCATGGGTATGCACCTGAATGACACTGGCATGATGAGTATGTAGGATGTTTATAGATATTTGAAAACACCAATTGACTGTAAGAATTATGTGGCTAATGAGTGAGGATGCAGATTGCAAACATTCTGCTGAATGAGTGGCACAGTTGACTGAGCAGGAGCTAGTAGTGAGATTCATCACTGTGCCAGTTTTGCCACTACTCTGATGGAAGAATTAACATTTGTATGAGAGAAACGAAAATGATGGTGGTCTTTGGCACATCCTGTAGCAGATGGCATCTCGTCACAGATCACGAGAAAGTTATACATGAAGGCCCTCACTCGATTCATCTTAATTCACCCATCTAGAACGATCTTTGGGTTTCCACATTACTACATCTGTTGTGAATCCGACTGACTTCAGAGAATTCCCCTCGAGTTTTATATCTGGGTAAACATTCAGTATTCTCATTCTTTGCACAAAGATTTGCTGATGGTCTAAATTTTCCTTTTAGTAGTTTAAAACAAAGTTCATTTGTCTTTATGTTGTATGTAATGTGCTTTTACAAATTAGTCTTTTCCATACCTCTCTCTCTCGTATCACTCTATAAGTTCAACTTTTGAATCTTTCCATTTCAATCTTGGTTCCCAATTTTGCGTCATAACTGAGACGTTGCCAAGACTTGTGGTTAACCTTGAGATTCCTTTCTGTGCTACCTCCATTGTTGTTGTTTTTTGTGCCCTTGTATTGCTCAAATTGAGGTCTAGCCAGCTATTAAGTATTTTGTTTGCAACATGATCTGACTCTTATTTTGATGTTCCAAATGCAAAGTTCAATCCCCTGGTTTTGTTGGGTGCTGCTCTGCTTTGGTTGGATATCATGAACGTTCAGTTTATCAGTATCCTTTGTCTTTCAACTATATCCTTTCCACTTCAATTTCACTCCTGGAATACCAGTGTCACCCATATTTCCTGTTGATCCACGTCTTTTGCACACATATTCATTTAATTGATTATTGTTCTGTTTACTTGTATATTATCCAACTTGTCTGTATTCTCTAGGTTACCTTTGATCTACTCCTCCTAAATATTAAATTGTCAGTAACCATGACCAATTTGCTTTGAAGTTTTGAAAAAATGTCATTTATATCAATTCAGGAGGTAGTTGTGAAGTTTTTTATTACCGTTGGGATGAATGTTTTCCTGACAGTTGAAAAAGCAAGCATTTGACTTTCTTCACATTCTGTATTTTAGCTGAGCAGAATGCCAATTTCAATATTTCCTCTTTGTGTTGTGCAGTGTCAAGTGGAACCTAGTACTTTGATGCAGCAGCACCCTAGACTGAGAACTGGGTCAAATTGAGGAATTATAATCTGAACCTGCTCACTCCATGCTTTTAAGTGTTCCTATTGTACTGCCAACAGACACAGTTTCCCTCCAGTGCCCACCCTCAAATTCATCACCTTATGCTCAAATTACCGAGTCCAATGCAGCAGCTTCTTCCCATCTGCTATTTTAGCTATTTTACGCTTAGCCAATTACCATCTTGAGCTTGGACCAGTTGCAGATATGTTGCATATCTAAAGTTAGTAGTTGAATTTCAGACACTTGTAACTTCCTTTTCCAGAAAGTCTAAAAGTGAAGTAAGTTTTAACGTAGAGTCCACAGATTTTCCCTGATGGAGTGGGCAGATAGGTGGCAGATGAGATTAAATGCAGTGAAGTGTGACATGATGCATTTTGGTAAAAGAACACTGAAAGACAACATAAAATAGAGGTTAGTATTCTAAAGGGGGTAGAGAGCAGAGAAGCCTGGGTGTATATACATGCACAGATTATTGGAAGTTACAGGACAAGTAGAGAGAGCAGCAAGTAAAGCACACTGTCGTTGGCTTTATTAATAGGAGCATAGAGTACAAGGAGGTGATGTTAAACTTGTATAAGACACTTGTTAAACCTCTGCTGGAGTATTGTCTAGGTGCCACAGTATAAGAACGATGTGAATGCATTGGGGAGAATAAAGAAGCACTTTACCAGGATCGTTACAGAGATAAGGAACTTCAGTGATGAGGATAGATTGAAGACATTGGGACTGTTCTCCTTGGAGAGAAAACGACTAAGAGGAGACCTGATGGAGGTTTTCAAAATCATGAATGGGCTGGATAGAGAAGATCGGGAGAAACTGTTTCTGCTTGTAACAAGAACTAAAGGGCATAGATTTAAAGTGTTGTGCAAAAGAAGCATGGGTAAAGTGAGGTGAAGCTTTTTCACTCAGTAGTGATGTTGTGAATGCACTGCCTGGGAAGCAGGTTCAGTTGAGTCACTCGAGAAAATTGGATGATCATTTTTATCCAAATAAAGTGCAAGGCTTTGGGTGAAAAATTAGGAGATTGGCAGTAGATAATGATTCTCATTTAATGAGCCATTGTGCCTGCAATGGGCCGCATGGCAGCCTCCTTCGTTATAACACTTCTGTGATTCAGTGAAAAGAAACCCTAAATTTTGCAACTTGGAATCTTAGAGCACTCAAAAATAACCTCAGTAGTGAACATGAAGAAAGAAAAAACTGCAATCCTTTCACATGAGGTTGACATCACCACGCTTAGTAAGACCCACCTTTGTGGAGAAGGGCAGCTGAAGAAAGAAGCAGGGGTTACACCTGCTGTAAAAGGAAGACTATAACAACATTTGTATCTGGTTTTGCTATCCAGAATAAGATCTTGGATGCATGCCTAAACTCTACAATTGTACAATGAAAGGCTTATAACATTTCAGCACAATTAATATTGTCACTGTCAGTGGTGTTTATGTCTTGACCCTTGACTCCCTTGATGATATAGAAAGCTCTGTTCTGACCTTGATGAATTCCTTATGGTATGCCAAAAAGAACAGTTCATCCTTCCTGGGGACTTCCCTGTCAGGGTTGATCACGATTCCAGTTAAAATCAATATAAATGGTGTCCCTGTCCTGACAAGGTGTATTCAGCATAGCTCATTTTAACACAAGCACCTCATCTGTGCAAAAGGACAAATATAAAACTAAATGGAAGCATCATTGATCAAGGCATTGGCACATCTTGGGTTATGTCATTGATCGAGTCAAAGACCTAAGTATGTCTATATCACTCGATCCATGTGAGACAGATCATCGCCATATTCAGTCAGTGATGAACATGTGCAAAGCACCAAGACCTAAAAGTCCAGTGGGTCAGAAGATCAATGCCACACCGGCAGCCCAACCAAAGAGAGAAATTCCAGAAAACCTTCACACATCCAAGAGACTCTGTGTAATTTTAGGCCTTCCAAAGGAACATATGTCATGGTTTTGGTTGACAGGCAAATGTGAAGACAGCACCAAAACTGTTCATTACATTCATCGATCTGAGCAGAGCATTTGTTTCAATAAATTGAGAAGTTCTGTAGATTGTTTTGCAGAATTTTAGGAATCCAAGAAACTTTATCTGAGTCCTGCAACTTCTTTGCTATGATATGACTGCAACCATCTTGAATGGGAGATCTAAAACAGACACCTTCAAAATCGGAGCTACAATCAAACAAGCCGATGTGAACCACCCCCCCATACTTTTTACAAATGACCTGAAACTGCCTAGCCAGTATTGCCCACATCCTGTGCAAAAATAAATAAATAACTTGCCTTCTGATAATTTGATTTGTTGTTGTCTCATGTACCTAAGTACAGTGAAAAGTTTTGTCACGCCTGTAGTGCAGGCAGATCATAATATGCAATCGTATGGTGTTTAGACAGTGAGGCATACAAGGTTACAGCTGCACAGGGAGTGCATAAAAGCAAAATCAGCATTAGATTTGAAATTAGAGTTATTCAGCAGTCTTAATAGCAGCGGGAAGAAAACAGTTCTTGAGCCTGTTGATACATGTGTTTAAGCTTCTATATCTTCTGCCTGATGAGAGAGGTTGGAAGACATTTTAATTGGGGTGGGAGGGGGCTTTGATGATGTTGGTTGCCTTTCCACGGCAACGAGAAGTGTTGATGGAGTCGTTGGATGAGAGGTTGATTTGCGTGATAGTCTGGGCTGTGTTTACAACTTTGCTCTGCCCAGGACCGTTAGAACTATACAAAGTTGTAAACACAGCCCAGACTACCACTATCACCTGGGTCCATCTCGGCTTGGTATGGAAACTGCTCTGCCCAGGACCGTTAGAACTATACAGTTTCCATACCAAGCCGAGATGGACCCAGGTAGAATGCTTTCTACAGTGCATCAGTAAAAGTTGGGAGTGTCCTTATGGACATGCCGAATTTCCTAAGCCTCCTGAGGAAGAAGAGGTTTTGTTGTGCGTTCTTGACGTCGTATCTGCGTGGGAGGACCAGGACAATTCGCTGTATTTAAGTACCACCTGGATGGGAAGAAGGTTAAGAGGTGACTTGATAGAGACATACAAGATCATCAGAGGATTAGATAGGGTGGACAGTGGGAGCCTTTTTCCTCGGATGGTGATGGCTAGCACGAGGGGACATAGCTTTAAATTGAGGGGTGATAGATATAGGACAGATGTCAGAGGTAGGTTCTTTACTCAGAGAGTAGTAAGGGCATGGAATGCCCTGCCTGCAAAAATAGTAGACTCGCCGACTTTAAGGGCATTTAAATGGTCATTGGATAAACATATGGATGATAATGGAATAGTTTAGGTTAGATGGGCTTCAGATTGGTTTTCACAGGTCGGCGCAACATCGAGGGCCGAAGGGCCTTAACTGCGCTGTAATGTTCTATGTTCTATGTTCTTTAACCTCCATTATCTCCATGCCAAAACTAAACTGACCACCTTAGGCGAATCAGACCTTGGGTATATGCAGATAACTGCAGTGTTGTTGCCCAGTCTGTACAGCCCTCAAACCTCTTTTTGGTCTTGCTTTCAATTCTGCATACAAGAGATTTGCTCTGAGCTTAAATGTTGCTAGAATACATACCAGCCGATGCCTGATCAACTGATTATTCCATCTCCCATGTGTTGAAGGAGAGACTGAAATATGTTTAGCACTTCCCATACCTCAGCAACTCTCTCTCTCAAAGCACCATCTTTGACAAGGTGATCCAGTACCGGATCAGCTCAGCCTGCTCCATATTACCGCACGGAGTGTTTGACAGCAAAGACTTCTTCAAGGCAACAGAAGTCCTAGTGCAGGAAACAGTTGTCATCACTACATTCCTGTACAGGCGAGAGACTTGAATTATCAGTGACACGTAACAGCGCTAGCTAAATTCCATCTGCAATATTTCTGCCACATCCTCTGCATTGAACCAAGTTCAGTGTCCTTTTTCAAGCCAGCTCCACAAGAATTCATGCAAAAGTCTTACAAAATCAACTATGATGGACTGAACACTGCCTGGATAGCCAAAGCACTCAAATTGCCAATGTTCCAGGGAATGATAAAGAAAGCACTTTAAAGACATGCTGAAGCGTGGCAGTATTGCTATTCATGCCTAGGAGGAGCTTGTTACCAATTGTTCAATTCTTCCCCTTTGTTGAAGTGGCACAAGGGACATAATATTAAAGTAAAAGACAGGATACTTAGAAGGGATTTGCAGAAAAGGTTTTTCTCCCGGAATGTGGTGAATGCATTGCCTGGGATGGTATTTGAGGCAGGGAACATCACAACCTTTAAAAAGTTTGTGGACAACCATTTGAACTGTCATAACATTCAAGGCTGTGGACTTCGTGCTGGAAAGTGGATTAGTATAGATTTAGACTTTTTTTTATTGGTGCAGACTTGATCGACTGTAGGGCCTCACTGTACCTAAGATTTTATAAAGCTGAGCTAATTGCTGCTGAAAATTTTCTTTTACCCTTGATAAGAGTTTATATGCTTGTGGCATGTCACTAGTGCTGAAGAGACGTGGGCTGAAACAGTTATGTGGATGTGACCTGATTGGGTGATGGATAAAATGTTAGAAGTCGCATGACGCCAGATTATAGCCCAACAGGTTTATTTGAAATCACAAGCCTTCAGAGCATAGCCCATTCTTCAGGTGACTTCACCTGATGAAGGGGCTGCGCTCTGAAAGCTTGATTTCAATTAAACCTGTTGGGTTATAAGCTGGTGTCATGTGACTTCTGACTTTGTCCACCCCAGTCCAACACCAGCACCTCCACGTCATGGGTAAAATGTTCAGTATGATTTTCTTAAAAGGGGATGCTGCAGAGCTGGGGATAAAGAACAGTGGAGTGAATCTAATTAAAGAGGTGTTTCACAAAGCCAGCAGAGAAACAGTGGTCTCCTTGTGCCCTGCATCAATCTGCAATTCCACCATTTGGTTCAGTCCAGAGAAAGCGCTAATTAAGTTTCCACTGACTTGTGTACTGGAGTGATCTGGTTGAGATAAAGTTTAATCAGTCTTTGTCTTAATGTTTGCACCACAGAAAGAGGGCATTTGGCACATTGTTTCTGTATGATCTTTCGAATGGAGCAATTCAAACTCATCCTATTGGTTTATAACTGAGGATCTCTTGAAAACAACATGCCACATCTGGAGAAACTTCATGAAAGTATCTTTTTGTCTGGCTGAGAATTTGAGTGCGTTAGGATTACAAATCTGAAGTAGCAGTGCATAAAATAATCTAAAACTTTTGCCATAACTGTAGAATTCTCCTCATATGCTTTTGTTCTTTTTCTTCAGTGTGTAGCAGACTGCGTTTTGTATTATTATTTGACAAAGAAAAATGAGAACTACAAGAATCTTGTAAGGAGGAACTACGGCCGCCGCAGAGGAAGGAATACGGTAAGAAATGCCAGAATATTGACGAAAAGACTGAGAGCATGAGTTGGGCACAAGACACACTTTACAACTGGATCAGTGGATTGGGAACATTTTGTTACATAATGTTAGTTGAATGTCTGAGTTACCATGACACCCAGTGGATATAAGGGAGAGCAGGGTTACTTGGATAGCTCTTTAAAGAATTGACTGTAACCATGTTGGGTTGTTTCATAGCCTTCTATGTTCTGTGATGTTATAGGTTGAAAAAGTTTCATTGTTTTCGTTCTTTACAATTTACACTAAATCTTAAGATATGTTTTATCTTTTACACTTGCAGTAAATAAGCATTTGCAGCATCATTCCCATTGTTCTTAATAAAACTTAAGAGCTTAATCATGTTGTTGCTCTATATGTGGGCTTTGTAAATAATGAGCACTAATATCTTTTGGGTGTAAAGGGTTGAGTTATGGGGATGAGATGGGTAAAGGACATTGAAGTGTTCGATCAGTCATGATTGTATTGAATAGTTGGGCAGGCTTGATGGCATGAATGGCCTACATCTGTGCCGATGTTCCTCATACAAAAGAACAGCACAGGAACGGGCCCTTCGGCCCACTATGTTGTTCCAAACATGACGCCAAATAAAACTAATCCTTTCTGCCTGTCCTTGATCCATATCCCTCCGGTCATTGCATATTAATGTGCTTATCTAAAAGTCCATATCATATCAGCCTCCGTCACCATCCCTGGCAGCACATTTCAGACACCTACCACTCTCTGTAAAAAATAAACTTGCCCCTCACATCTCCTTTGAACTTCTCCATCTCACCTTAAATGGATGCCCTGTAGTATTAGACATTTCAACTGTTGGGAAAAGATTCTAACTATCAACCCTGTCTATGCATTTCATAATTTTATAGTCTTCTATCAAGTCTCTCCTCAGCCTCTGCTCCTCCAGAGAAAACAACCCTAATTTTTCTAGCCTCTCCTTATACCTTGTACCCTCTAATCCAGACAGCATCCTCGTAAACCTCTTCTATATCCAGATATATGTGGGCCAGGATCTCTGTCACTTGCTTATTCATTGAAGTAGAACAAGCTGGCAGTGACTAGTACATTGTTAGCTAACAGGTCACAGGCCACTGTGTGGTACTTCCATGTGCTCAACAATGAGTTGCAAGGAGGTCTCCTACTTTAGATACTGGAGGAAGTGGTGCCATGGCATTGTCACTGAACTAATAATTGAGTCCGGGCATGACAGACAGTAAATTGATTTAAAAAGTAAGAAAATCTGCTCTGGTCTGACCTTCATGTGACTCCAGATCCCACCGCAATTTGGTTGACTGTTAACTACCTCAGGTTAAACATAGAACAGTACAGTACAGTACGATGTTGTGCCGAACTTTTACCCTAAACCAAAGGTCTATCTAACCTTCACCGCTACCTTGTCCTATCATCCGTATGCCTATCTAATAGCTGCTTAAATGCCCCTAATGAGGCCAACTCCACTACCCTCTCCGGCAATGCATTCCACGCCCCTACCGCTCTCTGAGTAAAGAACCTACCTCTGACGTCTCCCCGATATCTGCCTCCTTTCACTTTAAACTATGCTCCCTCGTAAAAGCTACCTCCACCCTAGGAAAAAGTCTCTGGCTGTCTACTCTATCTATACCTCTGATCATTTTGTACACCTCTATCAAGTTACCTCTCATCCTTCGTCGTTCTGAAGAGAAAAGCCCTAGCTGTCTCAACCTTTCCTCGTAAGACCTTCCCTCCATTCCAGACAATGTCCTCGTAAATCTCCTCTGCACCTTTTCTAACGCTTCCACATCTTTCCTATAATGAGGTGACCAGAACTGGACACAATACTCCATATGTGGCTGAACCAGGCTTTTGTATAGCTGGAGCATAACTTCACGGTTCTTGAACTCAATCCCTCTATTAATGAAAGCTAATGAAAGATTAATGAGGCATGAGCAATAAAGGTTGATCCAACCTGCGATATTCACATCCCATGAACAAATACAAAAATCAAATCCTGCACTAGCTTCAGCGGTGCAGTGTTAGAGTTGTGGATGGTCTCTGAGGAGTAGTGTTGGGGTTGTTTGCTTTTTTTTGGTTGGAATTGGCGCATATATGAGCGGGCAAGTGAGGTGAAAAGGCAACAAATAGTTTGGAAATGGTTTCTGTCACACTGAGGTATTCTTATTTATCACTCAACGAACATACATTTCCTTAAGGAATTAAAACCTACACTCAGTGACATAATTATGGCTAATTAGAGAAGTTGGGGGCACACGACTAAAAGAATGTGTTTTAATATTGCTTAAAGAGTAGTCACCCCAAAGATTTATGAAGGTTTTAAAATGGGAAAGAATGACCAAGAAATTAATAAAGGGAAGTAAATAAGGTATGTGGCTAATCTTGAGGTGTTCAGAAAAAAGTAAATTCTTTGCATGAGAGAAAGGAAAAGATGAATGAAAATAAGCATCGATCTCTTGGGGGCAGTGACAGGAGAAATTATAAAATAGAATAAGGAAATGACAGAAATGGCAAGTTTTCTATATTTGCCTACATGTAGAAGGGAGAAAGATGATTAGGGAAATTGTGGAGAACCAAGGGTTTAATGAGAGTGAGGAACATAAAAAGAAAATTGGTTGGAAATTTATTGGCGAGTTTCATGAAGTTGGTAGCGGACAAATACACAGCACCTAGCGTTTTTTAAAGTGGTGGCTACAGCCAGTGAATGATTTGGGCTTGATCTACCAGAATTCCCAAGATTAAAGAAAAGTATCAGTAAATTTGAAACAATTTTTTCAAAAAGTGGGAAAGAGAAAATGAAGAGTCATTGGACTCGAAATGTTAACTCTGCCTTCTTTCCACAGATGCTGCCACACCTGAATTTCTCCAGCAATTTCTGTTTTTGTTTCAGATCTCCAGCATTCACATGTTTTATATTAAATTTTGATCAATTAATCTGACATCAGTAAAAGGGGAATTTCTGGGATCTGTTATCTAGAAAGTTGTAACCGGCAATTGGAAAATAACTGTGATTATGCATGTGAGCATGGTTATGGCTAGGAAATTATTATTGACAAATCTGTTGAGAATATTTTGAAGATGCATCTAGCAGGGATGAATGACAAGAAACAAGTGAATGTAGTACTGTATAGTACATTCAGGGATTGAAGAACCAGGCATGTCTTCTCTCATGTTTAGAAAAATGAGAGATGATCTCATGAAACTCAGACACTTCTCTGGGCTAGTGAGTCTAGAACTGAGGGACATAATCCCACAGTAAGAACTAGACCATTTAAGACTAAGGTTAAGATTAAGATGAGGATGAATTTATTCACTCAGAGCGTAGTGAGTCTTTGGAATTCTACACCCAGAGAGTTGTGGAAGTTCTGATGTTTAGCATATTCAAGACAGAACATAGAACATAGAACATGGAACAGTACAGGCCCTTCAGCCCACGATGTTGTGCTGACCTATTACCCTACTAAGATCAATCTACCCTGAAGTCAGTAGGTTTCTGGAGACTAATGATATTGAGGATTATGAAACTAGCAGGAGAAATTGACTTTGAGCTAGATGATTAGTGACTTTGTAATTGAATCTAATACAAGTTTTGCTCGGTAGGCTAAAAAGCCTTCTCCTGTTTGTGTATTTGGACTTTTCAGAAGACAGTGGACAAGGTGTCCAACAGCACGTTGCTGTCATTGATTAGGGTTTATGGGATGAGGGTAATGTATACCATGGATTAGAATTGGCTAACGGACAGGAAACAGAGACTAGGAATAAAGTGGTCATTTTCAGGGTGGCAGAGTCTAACTATCAGGTATTGCAAGCATCACTACTTGGGCATCAACGATTTGTGACCTATATCAATGACTCTGAAAAGGAGAGCTGAGTGCAATGTCTTTAACTTTACTAACGATACAGAGCCTAATATGAAGGTAATTTGAGAGAAGAGTACAGACAGGTTGCGAAGGGCTAAAAATTGATTAAATGCGTGGGCAAGAAGTGGCAGATGGAGTATCATGTGGAAAAATGTGGATTATTCACTTTGCTCGGAGTAATTAAGAAAAAGCAGAATATTTATTAAAAGGCAAGGTACTGGTAAATGTTTTGTATTGAAAGGAATTTAGGTGTCCTACATGAATCACAGAAAGCAATTCGGGAAGCAAATGATATAGTCGTCTTTACTACAAGGAAGCCTTGCTGTGGTTGCACAGGTTTTTGGTGAGAGTATGCATGGAGCAATGTATATAACTTTGGCCTTTTTAACCAAGGAAGCGTATGCATTCTTTATGTGGATATGATACAATGAAGAACAAAAACAAAGTTGCTGGAAAAGCTCAGCAGGTCTGGCAGCATCTGTGGAGGAGAAAACAGAGTTAATGTTTCAGGTCCGGTGACCCTTCCTCAGAACTCTGAGTTTTGTGGAATAGTTTAGGCTAGATGGGCTTCAGATTGGTTTCACAGGTCGGCGCAACATCGAGGGCCGAAGGGCCTGTACTGCACTGTAATGTTCTATGTTCTATGTTATGGGGATATGGTAGGACAGTAGAGTTGATGATTCATTGTTGCAATGTCGAAAAAAGTCAGTGATTCTTATGATACACGATTACCCTTGTGTTGTAATATTTTGTATTTTAATTTATTGTTTTGTGCTGCATTATACACATAGTTGTTGTATTGTGATGAGTGAAAGGGGTATGAGGCTACATTATACACTGAAGAGGAACAAGATCAGTCTGGACCAAGAACCCAATACAGTTGGATCCTGTTACTGTCTTTTTGAGATTAGTTTGCTTTCTGTGCTGTCAACTTGGCTCAGGTAGAACTGTCTTAGTGAGAGAGAAAAATGCAGTACAACTGGAGGTTGTGTCAATGTTTGTAATGGGTATGAATGGGGAATATGATGGAAAGTAACAGTTGCCTTCATGTCTGATAACAATGCCTGTGAAGAGTTTTGGTTTGATGTTCACTGGGGCCTCATGTAATATCCTCATAGC